AAAGCTCAGAGTATCACAGACAACCGTAACAAATGCACGTAAACAATCCTCCAGCCTGCCACTGCAAGGCATAGACCATAACATCAGAACAACAACAGCTATGTAGGTTTGCATTTTCACACACATACATACACACACACACAAACACAAACAGGGAGGACATGGGGGAGGGGAAGGTGTCAGACTGAGTGAACTTTAAAAGCTGTATGTGACATTTTGTTCCAATAGTATGTGAGCAACAATTCAACAATGGCTTTCTGAGCAAATCAGTCTGTGAGTGAAAGTGCATACTGTACTAATCACAATTTTTCCACGGAACCTACATCTGCTGTTGAAAAAGATAAAAGCAGTTGAATGGAAGTTGCTGCTATCAGCCCAGGAGGTTCTTAGAAGGGCCGAGGTACAACAATGGCCTAGTACTGGTAGTACACCACCTCACAGCCAATTTATTATATATCAATCCACATCACATCTCAACATCCCTTTCACATCTAGTTCACATCACACTAACTCAAATTTCGAAATAGCATAGCAGAAATAATAGCTTAAAGAAAAGCTGTCCAAGACCTTCAAATTACATTGACTCGCTACTGTAAAAAAAAAAGTCAGTAACCTCTGAACTATACACCCCTTTCCACGTTGTCTTCCACTATATGCTGCAAAACTGAATAGCACACAAGCACTGTGAAAGTAAATAAGACTTATAACTACATTTCAGCTATGCTCACATACTACTCAGTGACCAATCTCAATGTAACTCATCAAAAATGATGTCCGTTGAGAAAAACGTCTAAATTCTTTTTCTTTTCTTTTCATATTTATACAATATCATGGAGTATAAAAATGAATGCAAGACATCAAAACAATTTCCCTTATCCCAGGCCAACTTCCAACCTATAAGAGCAGACACCACCATCCAACCCCTCGACTGAAATTGGAAATCTCCCTCCCAAGAATTTCAGAGATTGCAGCATAACAAACGGAACATTAACACTTCCACCAACGCCAGCATTGGGAATCAAAGACAAAACACAGAACAGAAATCACACTAAAAAAATGAAGATGGTGGGGTGTCTTAATGAGAGTGCACTTGGAAAACCACATTTAAATCAAAATTGTTAAAAACATTCATGTACACTCTTCGGTTCAAAAAGCCCTTTTAAACTAAACCATTTCAGTAAACTAGTAAAAATTTTCACATTATGAATGCAACAAAGTTCCCACAACAAGTTTCAACAATTTTGTTCCAAGTTTTGTGGCAATGATGACAAGAAAGAATATGCTAGGGTGGGCTTGGAATTTTTTTTTCATGTTGACTTGCTCGAGTTCAGCATTAAAGTTCATGCCAACAAAAAAAACAAGACCCCAAAACAGCAGAACTATGCATCAAACAAAAATCATTCAAGTGTAAAAATATCTACAGGCAAAAATTTATGTCATCTACTCAACATACACATAACGGCTTCACAGCTACTAGCAGGCATTCATAATTAACCCCTTCATTGCCATGGGACGTACAGTAGTCTCCGCCTAAACGCACGCCATACAAAAGCACGCTCCGCTTAACACACGCTTTCGTCATCTGATGGGTTTTGTACTATATAATTTAGACGTATAAACACAGTCACTCCCTCTAAACGAACGCTCCGATCGGCGAAACATGCCGACAGGAAAAGCTTGACAAAGGGAAATTTTCACTACAATCTGCACAACTTACATAACACAAGGCTAGAAAACCGGAAATTTGATGAGACTGCCCCTCATGCCGAACAAAGAGAATGATGGACAGTGTTTTCCCACTCAACTTTCCACAGAAGACGCATAGATCTAGGGGGGGGGGGGGGTTGAAATGCTTTTTGATTATTGGAAATGCATCTTAAAGTTTGAGAGGAGGTTTCTGACTGGAGTTTGGGTGACTGCATGCAATGTTTAGTTAGACCTAGGTCTGGTGCACAACATGCGTGAATACTGTAAAACACTAGATAGGCCTCTATAGGATTAAAGATTGGCCAGGTAAGCCTATCAGCTGCGCCCAAAGAACTTATAATGTACTTGTTCAATGAATCAGAAGAGAAATGTTTCTCTGAATGTAGAAATCTAGATTCTATGATACTGATGTCGCCCATAAATTTACGGTCAGGTTGGTCTCTTGGAAAGCCACATGGCAGGGCCAACGTCTCAATGACTATCACCAACAGTTTCCTCTTAGGCTATCTGTTCCTGACATTTTATAGTGTATATTCATTACACTGAGTCTGTTTTTCTGCGCCCCCCCCATATTCAACGCCTTTGTATTCCTAATCGCAGACCCAATGTGACCCTTGTCCCAAAGGGAGATGACTGCGTCCCTTCTTCCTTTGGCAAAGGTTCAAGTAAACGCACACTCAGTATAAACACACTTTGAGGATCCCTCCTGAGCATCATGCGTTTAGGCGCAGACTACTGTACTGCACAAGCACTGCGTGGAATCGTATTCAGGAATAAAAGACACACATATTAGTTCCTACTTTGCTATTATTGCTTTACTGCTGGGCTTGCAGACAATCGATAAACACAGGCGGCCGTGTGCTCTCATAAAATATTAACACTAAAATGACTTTAAAAAGGAAACAAAAATTCACTTTTTGACATAGATTTGCAAGTTATTCAAAATTATGAGTGCCATGGGAGAAAATAAGGACTGAGAAAAATGAGAAAAGTGACACGATCGAAGACCCGGGGTCTGCAATATGTTATGGCAGCGCTAAATCTAGGCGTCCATTAATTAACGTGAGACTGCTGTCCTGGGTACCAAGCTCAGCTGAAAATCAGTGCTGACAGCAGGGACGCATAGCATACCCCCTGGCAACGAAAGGGTTAACAAAATACCAGACAAATACTGGAGAAAACAGCAAATCAGGAGGGACCTAAAAAGTAGGCTATTCCTGCGTAAGAAACAAGGTTCTTGATCATTTCAGCCCATAAACCATATAAACGCATACACAAGCATGCATGAACACATACACACACTATATAGTCAAAGACGACAACTACAACGCTATTATTTTGCCTCGCAAAAACCAAGCATCTTATCAAAGAGGTGACAAACAACAAAAGCTGACCAGAGCTCATCAATGATTGGAGTGCCATTTCTTTACTGGAAGCATGGCAGATGCCATGAAAAAGATGGGGGGAGAGAGGGGGGAAGGGGGGAATAAGAGAGGGATCACGCCCAAACAAGTCAAGGCAAGGGCAGACAACATTGGGACACCATCCACTGTTTCCTTTCATTCTCACTTTTTGAAAGAAAATTGTAGTCTATTTGCGTGCTGGCATTTTAACAATTTTACAATGGTCACAGCATCCAAAATATGACAAATGAAATACGAATCAATTTGGGTGGACTGACAGTTGAGTCTACAAAATGTCTGTCTTTACAAATGGCTGAAAAGAGGGAGGCTATGGACACTTAAAGACAATACAATCACTAAAAATAAGCAAAGGAGCAAAGAAATCCACTTTTCCAACATAAACTTCATAAAACCTGACAGACTGCTTAAAATTAAAAAATTGTCGTGCACACACACGTGCACCACACAAACACACACACTCACATATAAAAGGTATGCAAAATGTCATAACTTGACCATTACAAGGGAATTGAAGAAAAATTGTTCAAACTAAGAAACTTAATTATTCCTCTACTGGGACAAATAGGAATCTCAGTGGATCAACTTCGTGAACAAAACATGACATGCCCTTCAGGACTGAAAAATCTACCCTAGCAAATCTGTATCAATAATATTTCTTGTAAACTTGCAATCCTTATTACAAACAATAAACATGTAATCGTACGGAAATACCAACTGATAATATCAGAATGTCGGAAAAAAAAGAAAAAAAACTGAACGTAATGAACTTGATTGCAGCCAATACTTAGAAAACAGTGACGGGAACAACACTGGATAATACTTGAATGTTAGTTTTGAGCATCACTTTTGTGTGAGGGTGCAGATGAGGCATATATCGCAGAACTGATACCCAAGACGATTGTGCTTTCCTACACATTACACGTACACAAAACTGTGGCACAGGACTAGCATATGATGACATGCTACACATTACAAACACACTGTCCTGCAACAATGCAGATCATCTCCACAGTTGCACAAACAGCAAACAAAATCTGTTTCATAATACATGACAGGTTGCTTTTTAATAGATGACTCGAGATATTGTAAGACATCATAGACAGTCTAATGATAAAAGATGGAGGGGAGGCACCTTAGGTTTTATTTTAAATATTAGTATGTCATAACACAACAAAAGGACCTTGGCAGTGGCAACTAACCAATATGCAACGTTAAAGATAATAATCAAGCGCACACATACTGGTACACCGGGCATACACACATGAGAGCAACTATCATCTCATCTCAGCTTCAGGCATTCTCTCTTGTACCGTATGTAAAGTTAGTCACAGGCTTTTCATTCTCATTTCTAAAAAAAATATTGACCATCATTTTAGGTAACAATGGGGATATGGAGACTTAATCCATGAAAATGAATAGCGCTCAAGAAGATTTTCATCAAATTATACAGAACAAGAACTTTAAGATAGCCTAGTAAAAATACTGCAAAACTATAAAACTGAAAAAATAAGAAAAATGTAACCTAGAAAAACATGACACTGTGATGATTGTAATGACAGCAATAAATGTTTTTTGCCTGATCAACACATTTTAAATCATTTAAGAGGTGGGCTGCTTTGATCTTGCCTGTCAGGGCCAACCTGGACTACGTGGATTACAGCAGCCCCACAGACAGATGTCGATACTCTTCTGAATAACTCCCCCACTTAGTGAAAACATTCACATTATCCTTAATGCCTGTACACAGGTAGAGATGATAAAGAATGTTTGAAAAAAGACAAAGAAGAGGAAGAGTAGAAATAGACAATCATATGGGGAAAAAATACTTTACACGGTAGAAGTCTGTTAGTCATTCACATTAAAAATTTCTTCTTTTTAAATACTAAGAAAAAGGCTGTAGAAAGTAACTTGTGAAAATGATTTTTAAAAAGAATGCATTTGACCTCGACAGTAGTCATGAAATGGAATTTGAGGTTGAGAAATGCATACGAACAGACACAGAACAAAAACGCCTTGAGAGGTATACAAAACTTCTTTGTACTCCCGTTGGAGATTCTGACTCCACAGCTGCAAAAAAGGCATCCTCAAAAACTAATACAGCCAAGCTATTGTTCAATAGTTCTTCCTTACCACTCAAGACACTGACCGTCATAACTCACCGCGAAATAATAGAAGCAACACTAAATATATATGAGAAAGGAGTAGCCAAAACAAAGCACACACCGGGCATGCCCACAAAGGCAAATCACTAGTGAGTACACAAAAATTTTTTACTTTTCTTTCTCCAGACTCTTCCATTTAACAAGTCAGTAATGCTCCGCATAGAGTAAAGACTATACATAATAGTTCTGTGCACCAACATAAACAGCAGCGAGTACAGCAATTGACCTAATTTCGGACTAAAATAAATTAATCCTTTAATTATGGCAGAATATATCACTAAAGACTATCATCGTTTTCCAACTCGGCAGTTGTAAGCCACAAAGGAAACTTAAAAACTGCACTTATTTGTCTGTTACTCACTGTAATAACGCTGCCAAATGTGTTAGCTGAAATCAACTGCGATAGCCCAGTGGCAGCATAAAGCAAAAACATGTCTCATCACAAAAAACAACCTCTATTCGTCAACATGACCAAAAAAAAGTTTCACAAATAAGACTGCCTAATAACTCTAATACAGCTCCAAAAAAAAACCTGAAACAGTGAGGTAAAGAGAACGAAGTAATGCTTAAAGACAACTTGTTTGCTCCAACTTTTTCCCATTACACATACACAACCACGTCATTTGATTGAAACCACCAGCTGGCAGTCTTGTCTATGAACATCTAACTGACACAACATAAATGATTCGGACATTGGGACTCCTTTCTGGTTTTAAGACTGGGAAGCCTAGTCTGAAACCGCACAAATGATATTGTGTTTTAGAAATATTCTTTCAAGACAAACATGATAATCATTTCATTTCATCATAGTAAACACGGTGTCAAGTCATAACAGGTTTGAAGGGTGCCTGGAAATGCATTATAAGGAGTAGCATTTCAACAGCACTATAAAAACAGAGCACAATAGATCTTTTCCAGGGAGTAGCAATTTCACAACAGAAGAGAGTGTTCCTGTGCAGAAAAAGACCATCTCCAAGCACACGACATTCACCCATGCCAAGGATGGTTCCCTCAGTCCCCAGTGACGTATTATAAGAGAAGAACAAATCATATTTCACTCCACAGGCAAGCTGAAACCAAGTAACTGCTTGATCATAACCTTTGTCCCCACTACACTAACAAACAACAGAACACAATGCAGCTGGGCATCAGAACCTGCTGAGCCAGGGTGATTACTGTTCCACTGGGTATATCATTCTTAACACACACCAACATAAAAAGCCATGAGTTCACAAACACATACTAAATCACTCAAAAAACTTCTGACCACAATCAAATAAAACTACCCCAGGATCTTGCTTTATCGAATATCTTATTTCAAGTGTAAATTCTTTAGCAGAGCTTACAGTATTCTCAAAAGGCTGCATAAAGACTGGACTTTCCTTTTCCTTTTTATTTGCAACTACATTGAAAACATTGCAATTAAATTTAACCCACCCAAACAAGCTGTTCTATTAGCCTCTACCATTCCCCAATTGTTTGAAAAAGGCAAGGGTAAAAAACTTTGATCTTTCCATCCTTTGGGGTTTTTTTTTATATGGACAGATCTTTACCACTGAAGTTAATGGTGATGTCCAAACTATTATAGTCTTTATTATTTTCAAATCCCCACTGTACAGCATAATAATATGAGGATGAAACCTGTCTAAAATAACTACAAAATGAATATTCCATCCGAAGAACATAAAAACTATTAAGAATTCTACATGTGAGAGAAACAGGAAGTCTCTAGATCTAAATTTTCATTCAGTAGGAAAATGTGACATCACCAGTTTTCCCCCACCCCCGACATCTTCATTTGCTTATCACAGTATCTGTGTTTCTGAAAATTCTTGAAAGCGCTGGCCTCAGCCCTATATTAGAGCTCCACTGTCATACTTTCCTTCCCCAAACTTGCATCTCACTGAGGATCTTCAACACATATATCTCAGACAACCGAGCAACACTTGGACTCCACTTGTAGACCCGGGCCAGCAGAGCCCACCTTGCAGCAGGTAGGAGCTCCCTGGGCTGGGTTGAGCCGAGATCCAGTAGCAGGGCCACAGTCCCCTGTGCATAAAGACGCTGCGCTGGTCTGGCTTTCCATGAGGCGCTCACAGTACTCTGAAATCTGTGAGAACTCATCGCAATCAGAGCTGGCTGGGAGAGGGGAGGGGTAATGTTGACCTAGATACTGGTCCGGCCGTTCGTGTGAGGGTGCCGGGGCCACTAGGACAGAGGTCAAACAGCCGGTGATCTTATTGTTATTGTTGTTCAGTGTGTTGGAGTTGTTCATGGCAGTGTTACTGTGTAAGCTGATGCCTCCGCTGAGAGGAGACGTCGAGCTGATAGACGATAGTTTTTGAGAGAGGGCCAAAAGATGAAGGTCTGTGTTCAGTATGGCTAACCCTTCGTGGCCAATCACAGGGTTTTGCCGAGTCAGGTGATTGCGTTTGTTATTCAGACTTATCTTACTAAAATTGTTAGTTTTCAAGTTGCTATTTTGGTTATTACTGCAGTCAATGTTCTCATCACCAAACTCTAAAGTCACATGTCCATTACTGGCTACTGGCCACTCATTAGGGTCCTCTCCACTAGACCGGCTATCACTAGCACACAGAGTATGATGTCGCGAATTATGTTGATGTCCTTTCCCACCACTACCACCACCATTTCCACCACCACCTCTCCCGTCACCACCACCACCACCACCATCACGACGACTACTGCGACCACCACTGGATGTCTTGGCACCGCTCCCACCATTGCCGATTCTGCCACCACCTCCAAGGTTGTTCCCTCCACTGGGACCATCTGTGTCACTGGAGTGGTCACTGCTATCCCGCCGGTGAACAAACTTGTGTTTGAGTTTACTGTCTTTCCGAGAGCGGCCCTCTGTGTCGTCAGTGTCGCTTGCGTCTGAACTACTGCAGCTTGCACCCCTCTGGCCAGCTCCCCGGCGGCGGCGACGTTGTTCATACTTACGCAGGATTTCAGGGGAAGCCATCCCACTGTGGGAGTACCGGCCACGAGGAGCAGATAGCTTCAGGGGGACAAAATCATCCTCATCCTCCGATTCATTCTCCTCATGGATCTGATTGAGCAACTGTGGAGAGCTGCAAACAGACTTCAGAGGTCGCCTCGGATTCACAGGATCGTGTCCTGCACTAGGAGGCTGAGACAACTTCGGCATCAGTCCCACTTCAGGACCGGACGCTGGGGAAAAGTCACTCGAGCGCTCATCCAGGAACTCCAGACTTTTTGATGGCTTCAACTCACAAGAGTCCATGTCAAAGTCATCAAGGTCATCATCATCATCGTCGTCCTGAGACTCCTCACGTATGAGACTGCATTTGCGTATGGCAGCAAACATGGCCTCAGGTGACAGCTGGCTCATGCCTGGTGAGGCTGACGCTGGCGATGGGTGGGTACCCGGGGGCGACACCAACGACTGCACCAGGTTGGAAGGGTCACAGTGGTCTGGTCCGGCCGACTGAACTCTGAGAATCAGAGAAAGAGAAAAGCAAATGTAAGATGACACGATATCATTCTTTCCATTGAAAAGCATTTGAAATAGAGATATGTTAAGACAGGGCGCATACAAAAATTGCATAAAGGGAACAAGAAAAGAGGTAAAGACATCCTCTTTGGTCAAGAAACAAAATGAGCCGTTGGCATTTATCAACAGAAGCAATCACTTGAGTAACATTTGCAATGTACATGTATTTAGTATACTTAGGTTCATCCTTGATTATGAAATACTGTGTATATATGTATAGAGATACAAATAAAAAGTAGAAACATTGCTCCTACTGGTTGATTGAACTTAAGGGGGGGGGGATGGGCAGCGCATGGCAGTCAGCCGCCAACAACTATCAACATAGACCATAAATCTATAGAACTTGGAAATCTTTCACAAAAATGTTTAATGGCAGCATGAATTGCTTTAATTCAGAGCCAAATTACTTGAATAATTAAATTTAATGTTTAAACTCACAGTCAAAAACATTTACAACCAGTATCCTATACACTGTCACGTCAAGAATAAATGCAAATATGCAATGAACAAGACAGGGCAAAATAAAAGTTCATCAAGCATTCCTCAAAACAGAACTAACATAATCAAATGTATGCATTAAAAGCTCTACAAAGTTAGAACAAGAATGGTCTGTACTGAACTTTATAAATAGATAAAAATCAATGAACACGACTCACAGCAATCTAAAATGTTAAAGAAAACATGAATTTCCAAAATTCTATTGAGAGAAAAAGGAGGAAATAAGCTCAACAAATGGGGGATGGGGAAACCACTCAAGCTCATTAATCAATGTACAAAATACGAGTGATTATGAGGGAAAAAACTAAGACATAAAGAAGTCAGTTATCTTCTTTTAATTCTTTTTTGCACTAAACAAGCTTCAGCAGACAAAAGCACACAATGCAGCACACAGGATATTTGAGCAGACCATAAATAAAAATACCTTTCTGAACGGCTCAAGCTCCAGAGCAAGAGCTATCTGAATTATCTAAACATGCAACACAACCATGCCATCCACAACTTCAGACCATCTGTTGCATTAACCACTTACAAAAGAATTTTTCAAAGTCATGAACACCTCGATACAAGTGGTCTCCAAAACTAAAATATCAGCTTTAGTGTAATTTTAAGAATGTTTTTCTGTTCTCCAAGAACATGATTAAGGACCCCTCAACCTTTTCATAAAACCAGATCATACGAAGTATCGTTCCATTTCACAAACAGGAAAATCAGAAATTGAAAATGATTTATGGGAGAAACACCTTGAGGTCCCATAAGGCTTAAAGACGAGACATAAAGCCGTGAAATAGACAAAAACACCCGTATATTGTGCTGAATCGGTGAACAGCTTACAGAAAGGTATGTGCATTGCCAAGTTTTAACCCTGTCCAGCACAAACAACAACCACTGACAATATTATGAACAGAATGGGTGAACAACATCACTTATGCAATATGAAATTAAATGACTCTTCACAAGAGTGTGTGTGTGTGTGTGTGCATGTGTGTGTATGTGCATGTGTGTGCGAGCGAGTGTGGGTGTGTAAAAGAGAGACCAAATCAATTTATGGATTACCCCCAACTGTCTGCAAGAGTACTGTCTTTGTGTGAGTACCCACACAGGGTTGTGTGCTCTTGTGAGAGTACTGAGTGGGTGCTTGCCTGCACTTACACATGCCAGCAAATAAAAAACAAGTACTTGAACTTTTAGTATTTAAATGTCCATAAGAACTTTTTCTGCATGTATTTACATTGAGACTTTGGATTTTGTGCAAATAATTAAACAGATATACCAGTACACGTGTCTTACTTGTGACCAAATGTACAAATTACAGCATGTGCTTCACTTCAGAACAAGTTTCATTCATAGGAGGCAAATGAACACCTTTAGAATCACAAATATAGGGGAGAGGACACATTTGTCCATGGGAAAATAGAAACACTGAACCTCTCACTGACTATTACAGTAGGAAAAAATCCAAGAAGAGAAAAAGCTGTCAATCAGATACAGTCAAATTTGGGGGGGGTTTTATGCTGGCTTTTTTTTTTACGCCTCCATCAACATAATTTAGATCATTTATGAGCGAGCGTCTGACTCTGCCTATCAGCGCAAACCCTGGCTAAGAGAGATACAACATCCCAGTATAAAGTAGACAGAGACACTTGATAAAAATTTCTCCCCACTCGGGAATCAAACTCTGGTCTCCTGAAAGCAAAAAGCGAAGCGCCTAATCGCTACTCCACAGATGCCAGCAGATAGATAAGCCTCACGAACTAGTAAAAAATTATAAGCATTCAGCCATGTTTTCACTAGAACACCTGTCAGCTCTTTATGAGGCAATCTTTAATGGTATAGTAAAATCAGTACAAAATTATTTGCTTGTGCTTTTATAATTAATTTTTCTGTGCAAGAAAAAACTTTTGCTTGTAAATCATTACAAAGGGAAAAAAATCTCAATTTTTCAGAAATAGCAAAAAAGCTTTCTTCTTCAAAGAAATTATTATGTGCTTTTTAGTTACAAAAACAAAACAGAAAAAAGCATTTACTTTCTATACCAATCCAAGAGATTTCTGGAACTTTCAGTATTAGCATTGATAGGTTCTTCCCACTTTATTAAACCTAAATTTCTTGAGCAAACTCAAAAATTTTAATAAGATTCTAAATTTCGTGGCTACCTTTTCTTCCTTCCCCGCACCATGTCCTTGAAAATGTAAGGGCATTTCAACTTATTTACGTATGCACAAAGTTATTTATGTAATAAATTCAATTTTCACAGAAGCCACAAAATAAACTTTTACATAAAACTATTTCTTTCTAAAGTGGGTGTCATGTGAACTATCTTATGCTAACAGATAAGACTAGTTCTCAGGATCTGCAGCAGAGGATTGTCTTCATGAACAATACAGTGTCCTTTTCTATTCCAGGACGTTTAACTCGGAGCACAAGCAGCTGATAGATGATCAGCTAGTCGATCTCTGTTTAAGTACCAACTTGGGAACACCATAACAAAATTGGCATTGAAGGTCACCACTTTCAAGCATACAAAAAGGAGGACACAGCATATACAGCAGCATACCAAAGAAACTACATGTGCAGTGCATATGTGTCTGTGTACATGTGTTTATCTACTTATCATCAGTATGTAGTTAATTCTTCATTGTATCAATTCTTTACGATTCAGGTAATCATTAGACTCGATAGCAAATATCCAACTTTGGGAGCATTCAGCAATATAATTTCAGCATCTCAAATCAAACATAGCAGAGCTGACTTTGTTTAAGAAAGAAAAAAAAAACAAGACTGCCAGATAACAAGGACAACTGGCCATGCCATATGACATGTTTCCTGTTTACTGGTAAAGTTTCACACCCTTCTAAACATAAATAGGCCATGTTCAAATCAGGTACCATAATGTGGGGGGTTGTGGGGGTTTTCCAGAATGCACACTGTTCTTGAGCCTGGTGTAGTCAATAAAACTGTCACATCAAGCTACTAGCAAAAGGCATCAGAGTCACTCTGTGAGGTTCATGAGATATCAAAGTCTGATTGACAAGTGTTACAACTCAAAAGCATCTGTGCACAAACAGGCATCATGACACCAAACCAGAGCCAAAATAATGCACAAACATGGTGTGAACATCACCTTGCTGCTGTTAGCTGTACGGGGCTACTTTTAAAAAATAACAAACCCTTATCTAGATTGAAGTGTAACAAATGCTGAGATATGGTGGTGGGTAAAGTTTTCCCTTAGCAATATCCAAATTAAATTTATTCACACCATATGCAGACGTAAAATGTTGACCAAAAGAAGGGTAGGCATTGTAACATAGGGCAGTACAGTTAAAACTGAACTGTACTGTCGTTGAAAAGAATCTGGAAACTCATTTTAACATAATACTAGTCGGCACTAACACATGGACACTGCACTTGCAAAGCACAAATTACAAGTTACAAACATTTTAAAAAGTATTGTTATCAAAAGGTAATCAGTAATATGTACCATCCTTAAAAGAAATGCGAAGCAGATCAAATACTTGTATTTTCCTAGAATCTTATTTCCTATTTTCAAATAAAGTTCATGCAATACTTTACTTACTACTTGCAAATCAACATCCACGATAATGAAACTGAACACTGCTGGTACTGACTTTCAGTATAACTGCCACAAAATTTTAATCAATGCAAAAGATGTTTATAGATGGGTTTTTAAATCTAAATGTAGGTGTTTCACATTGAATTTTTGCCAATAGTTGAAATTTCTACTTAAAAATTCACTGAGATCTCTCAAAATTTTTGACAAAGGATAATTTTCTTAACTTGCATCAGTCGGTATTGCAGTCCTATATATAGAGGTATGAGCAATTCTTGACAATCCATAAAAAGAATTCCAAGGGAAAGCACATAAATTTCATGTTAAAGCATGCCTTGCACCAAGCAGATTGGCTGACGTCTCAAATATGAGAAAATAATAATATATTTTTTTAAGTCAAAATATGGACCTTCCTAGGGCTTTTAAATAAAAACATGTAACTCATAGCTCCACATATAGAACTGCAAAAGAAAAAGACATTCTTTTTCTAAAAAATACTTGAAACAAAGACTGCCCTAGAAAATAACCTTTTTTCAGTCGAATGATCTGATAAAAAATCCAGTATTGAAACATTTTACTTCAAATTTTCCTTCAAACACTTGTATAATGCTTTTGAGTCAACTTACAGAGTAAAGAATTTAAATAAATACGTCAGCTGGGGTAAGAAACAACATGAAAGCCTCAAGATTTGTACCAATACAAGAAGAGACACTCACCACCGGCAAAGCTTTTACTTCATATGAATGGATTTCTATCAAAACAAAAGAAAACTCACTGAGCTGTTGTTAAGTGTTGTTAAGTCTCCATTCACTTTCCTTTCTAGCCCATATTATATTACTATAATAACAAATGAATACGGACCACTTGAAGAAAAGCAAAATTTAAAGCCTTACTGAACAGAGCAAACTAATCAAGGTTTCCTTTAAAAATTTAGTCTCTAAAAGTTGTATCTTACAATGTTTTCATCAACAACAATAAAAAGAAGAAAACAATATAAATGCAGAACTATCTTAATCAGTGTTTTTCTTTTAATTTTTCTGGTTCAACCCACACTGAAGTGACATTGTTCATCTATATAATAATATAAAAAATACTACTACAGTACTACAGATCCGCTGTGAACTCATGACCATTTAGATTTCATATTTATTCTCTGAACAATTCAGTTAGGTGCACGCACAAACCTTTCAGAAATCTGCAAGACTAAGTCAACTATACAACTAGTTAAATTTCAAAGCTATTCATTCTTATCTGTATTGTCCATTCCCCTCAATTTAAATTAATGAGAAATTTGAAAGTTGCAATGGAAAAATAGGAAAAAAAGAAGATATTGTGATTTCTTTTGAGATTTGACTTTCTGGGTCAATTACAACCATGCAACCCCCCCCTCCCCCCGACTTTCAGTGTGACATATCCAAAAAATTAACGCCGAGAACTATGACCATGACTTAGCATGCCCTCTGCTTAAATCAAAAAGAAAATTTTACACAGAAGTGGAAACGCCTAATAGGGGTGCTACCACAATAGTACAGCATAGGTTAACAGGAAAGAAGCATCTCAAGGTTTTTAGAAAAGGCCATCATAAATGTATACCTTTGTGAATGGAAGTACTTTCAGTTTTCACATGTGAAACACTGGCAACAAATTTTGAATGCTAATCCTTTCGTTTTTAGCATTGTACACTTATTCATCCTACATTTGAGAACTGAATTCCATTAAGAAAGAAAAAGATACACAAAATGAATCGACCTACGTTGCACACACACATACACACACAACACAGTAGCATTTCTTTAACCTAACTGGAAGTCAGCAATGTAAAATTAGTCAAAACAACAGATCTATAATTTTTATACGCCATCTTTTGAATTGCTAAACTATAGTACCAAATCATTTTGTCCTTTAGTTTCAATTGAAAATGGACATAAAACATTTTTCATATAAAAACAGCACTTTGCAAAAAGGGACATGTGATTAAAAAATAATAAGAGCAAGCAGGAAAGGGCAAATTACTTGATAGGGTATAACTTACTAACAGCTTCAAAGCAGCCAAGAACACAAGCTTGAGTGACAGACAGAATCCATAGATACACAGTTCAGACTCCTAGTTGTGCCCTCCAACCCCGACTCAAGACAACCCAGATAGCAGTGAAACTAGTCCTTTTGGCATGTATGAATGAGAGAAAGGGGCCAGATTAGAGACAGACAAAAAGAGACAAGACCCCATACTGAGTAAACTGCTGCTAGTAACAATGGGACAGATGCTCATTGGTTTTGAAATGAGGAACAGAGCCAGTGCACGGCACCTAGGGAAAGCCCTAAGTGTGATGACAGCATATTTAATTAACAGCGAGTTATTAAGGTTTATAAAAGGGTAAAGATTAGTAAAAGTCATTGCAGTTGGCATAAATTAAAGTCAGCTAAAGACTGAGACTTGAACTTGAATAAACAATTAACATGCTAATTTACAAGTGAAACCAAACCCTCTCGACAAATTTACTCTTTGAAAAAAATGTTTTACTAAACTGAATGTGTACAGCTACTCCAGAGGAAGTTGACAATTCTGGGTTCTTAAAATCATCTGAAGTATAAAATTTGAGATTTTCACTCTCAAAGATCATTTCCTGCTTTAAAAAACTTACGCTTTTTTTCCCCCACTCCAACTGTCAGGCTCACTGTACAGTGCATTAGTGCCCTAAATTCTGCAATTTTCTTGGCTATGAAACAAACAACAGTGATGAAAATCACAAACTATGTTGCACGTCAAGCAAGCATTACATTTTATAAACCTTCATACAGCTGCAAAGGGAGGGGGTGATGATAGATAGGGGGTGGGAAAAGCTTCAGACTGAATTATTGCCATAACAAGCGTACTCCCATCAGTAAAGCCAACTGTTGCTTCCTTCTCACACCACATAATTAAAGTCTGGGGCATAAATTTCAAAGTAAAAGCCCAATATTGCATCAGTTAATCAACAATTCATTAAAATAACCTCACAGCACATCAGTCTACACTAAAGCCACACAAGTGATATTCAGAGCTTGCAGAGTACACAAAATATATTTTTTCTTCATGTTCAACCCATCCAATATAAAACCTGGGAAGGCTTATGTCTCAAGCGATGTGTACAACATAGCGAAAGCGGACCCAGCGCTGGGAAAGGCTGTGGGAGGGTGAGAGTGCGGTATGTGTGGGAGGGAACCAGCCAAGCCCACTCACATTCAGTGAGGCAACCACTTCCAGTGAGGGGAGCTGATCTCCCCTGGGCAACTCTTAAGACAACTATTTACCGGTGAAAATGACCAACATCCGAAAAGCCTAGCGAGGTTGGTGAGTTAGGACTGAGGGCAACTCGTTGCTTGGATCTGGGAGGGGAGATAATACAGGAGACAGGTCGTGAAGGGGTGGCATAGAAATAATCTATCCAAACAATCATCTCGTACGGTGGACAAAATGAGCCACCAAACCAAGTCTTAGCATTTTCCAAGAGTATTAACTATTATCATCTTGTTCATAGTAAATACAGATTGACATTGACAGCGATTAGGAAGAAGTTATTTAATATTCACACATGAGGGTGGATACAAAACACACAAGAAAGGCAGATCCAGCAAGCTCACTTCTTAATAAGAGACACAGGCATGACTAAAAGGCAGGAAAGAAAACAGAACATCGGTCAATACACTATTTAATACAACATTTATGAAGGAAAACAACCTCAAATGAAACAAACAGTTAAAAACTTTCAACTGATATTATATGATGCCAAATAAAATAAAATAAGACAGTGTGACATTACAGTGCAAGCCTAACGAAACCTATCAAAACAGCAGAACTACGCCTGGGCTAAGGACACAATACTTTATTGTAATTGTGCTCAGACTGCTTGCCACCACGAACCACAGTGAGCAGAAAGCAATTGTAGCAGGTAAACACATGTGTGCTCTCACATCACATCTCTGTGGGAGCGTAGCCAAACCAAGCTCTGCTCTTCCTGGACCTCTTATCTGAGGCACTGTGGGGTAAAAACTACCATCAGTTGTGGCTGTGGGCATTTACAAACCACAACCAAAACAAAACTGCTGCACAATGACTTTCTCCCATGCAATCCCTATACCATATCTTTTTCACAGTCGGTTTAAAAAATATACTGGTGAACAAAAACAACAGAAGTGAAAGATTGATTAACTTCAACATATCAAGTAGAAGGCCCCCAAAAAGGTACAAAAACTGTTAGTTCAATTTTATGTCCTTCTCACCTAAAAAATTATTTTTAAAAACAATTCAGAAATTTCTACATACTCCAGAACAAGTGTAATGCCCCATATCTTTACGAATAAAACAATCTTTATTCAGTACCACAGTTCTAAGTATTTTAAAAAATGTTAACACATCATACATCACAAAACTGACATCTTCACTTCCAGTTGTGCCACAGTGCAATTTTGCACATTCTCACAGAAGGGTGACAGCAACAACTAGAAGGCTTGGGCAGTTCTCTCCGACAAGCATATGATAAGCCTTCAAGGCACTAAGCTGTACATCCTCATTTGTTGTCACTCCCATGAAACAAGTGGTTCTTGTTAATTTCATCTAAACTTGCAGATCCTCAAGACCTCATCTTGCCGACAGACTTTTTAGCCTTCTCATAGCCATGTATCTATTTCTTATTTGCTGTCCTTGAGCTTAGAAGAACTTTTCGAAACTTTGGACGCGTTACTTTGTGTTGTATGCAAATGAATCGAGGATCTCTGCTCATTGCTGATGTCCAATCTACTGTTCTGCCTGTAGTGATCCACCAAACTGTGAAGTGACTCATGTACCTGCACTACCAGGGTGGACTCTCGCCTGCTTTGATTTCCCATGGAAGCACTCACTGAGGCTGATTCACTGGCACCCTCAGATATTGAAATGGATATGTCAGAGCCAATGACAGGGGACAGAGTTCTAGGGGATCTCCAACCGGGTAATAATTTGTCAGTTTGTGGGGGAAGACTCTGACTCTTTTCTTCCTTGCCACTAGGAGAGGGTGGATATGGCATATACTGAGCATACAGCTGTGATGATTTGTAACAAGCATTTTTAGAAATCTTCAATATAAAAATAACAAGTCAAAATTCCATTGAGTCAACACAGAAGTGGATTAAGCTGTCCGTAAAAAGACAATGACAGCAAAAAAGAACACAGAGAGCAGACCAAAATTGAGTATTAAAGGAGAATAGAACAACAATAAAAGATAAATTAAAAAATGACAGAATAATAAAGCAATTATGAACTTCGAAAATGACCATTCCAAAATTACATCAAGCAGGGAAAAAAAGAAAAGAAAAGAAATCAGCCACTGACTCCAAATTATGACGACAGCAAAGAAATGCTATTGCATAAATTAAGGTTTGCATTCTCCATGATGAGAAACACAAACATTATGAGACATGGGACCAAACCTAAGGATTTCTAGTCCTTGCTCAAGCCAAGGACTCCTTCCAACTGTTTATGGGTCAAATGACCTGTGCAAGCAGCACAGATGCCACCTGTTTGCTGAGGAAAGAAAAAGCCAAGGCAGGACTTTTGTGCAATGTCTGACGAAAAACCCCAATTAAATACGTTACAAAAATGTACAACCCCTGCCCTCTAAAAATAAAAATAGATATATATTTCATTCCTTTCCCTTTTTGTTCAGAAAACTTCATATATCTTGTTCTTCCAAATGCATGCTTTAACTTGTAGGCCCTACATCCACTGCACAAAGCCAATCCTATGATGAAAGAGAAAAAAGCAACACCCAAACGCCACATATGACAAAAAATTATAATATTCTCTGAAACTTGAGAAAACCAAAAAAGCGTTACTGCGCGCATAGCGATACTGACGGATCCACAATACTGGCAGCATTCATATGTATGTCCACAACACCTATTCAAATCATGCCGGAGTAAGAAAGCCAACACTTCAAACGACTGGGAAGTAAAATCAGTGCAAACTCAGGAAAAGTACCACCATACTCTGAAACAAGAAGTACAAACTCAAAAAGTGTAGGACAGAGAATTATTCACAAGGGCAAAAGTTCCACCCACTCAGCACACAACTTTAAGGCAGGACAGATCCCACATTGTATAGCAAAGCAGGCAGCATGCCCTAAACTGAAACACAAGGAGGTCATCCAAGTACCAAAAGAAAAAAAGAAAAGTAAAAAAAAAAAACCAAAGGTAGAAAAATATCTCTGCGTGAACTAAAGTGAAGTGCTCAATGCATTGGGTAGGGATTGGTGAGGGGGGGTGGAAAAACGCCTACTTTCTGTCGCGTCCCCCCATCCAAGGGAAGAGTCTCTGGTGGGGCTGTGGGGGTGGCAACGCGCCGGATTCCTGTGCTGCTTTGCGCTCAAAGAACGAGCTCAATATGGCTATTTTGGAGAAAGACGGTGCCGATGACTTCTTTTTGGCCACCACAGCCTTGACCCCTTCGTGCGTGGTGAGGGGTGCCGACCGAACACGCTGCTGAGGTTTGCCCTTTTCGTCCATCTTGGGTATGAGAGGGCCACTCGGAGCAGAGGCCGGGGCAGAGGCTGGGCTGGGCAGCCCCAGGTTGGCCGACATGGTCATGCGGTGCTGAGAGGGACCTTCCAGCTTCTTCCGGTGGTTGGTGCGTCTGTCAAGGGTCATGCTGGTGGTGAGGCTTTTGACAAAGTCAGGCCCCCCAGGACTGACAGCAGCCGAGCCCACGCCCCGAGCGCCAGGCTCCTCCACTATAGGCGGAGTAATCACCAGGGTAGGGGGGATACCACCACATTTATGCACTGGGGCAGTTTTGGTCTTCTTCATTTCCTTTTGCTTGCTAGAGAAAAGGAAATTACAGTTCAATAAAGAAACATACAAGTCTGACATCAAGAATAACAACAATGAGGTAAAGTGCGAACCTGTGAAATAAAGAGAAACTCAAAAAACAGCTAGAGCAAGCCTCAGTTGTCATTTTCATTGTTGGCTGGATTCGGAGGATGGGATTAACCCTAACCAAGGCTACTTTTGTTTTAAGATGTTCTGTTAAAAACAAATTTTAACTATTTTTATTACCCCTCTGTACTATTGTCCGCAGGTTCCAGCCACCTACTTTTACATTGCAGTTCACCTTTTGATAGTGATAAGACCCACAAAAAACTGTTAAATCTGAAAGTTTGTAACGGTTACCTCCCCCCCTCCAATCCCAAAAGTTCTTTTTAAATTCAACAGGGATTTTTAAAAACTAAGGCTTGCAAAAAAGAAAAATAATCATGAAAATACAAAAATAGGTTGAACGGCAGGAGGCTGTCATTTACAACAGCAACTTTTCTTGTTTTCCTTCAATCTTCCACGAAAATATGGGCCTCACTGACAATTAAATAAAGACCTGTAGGAAGTCCTTTCAAGTCCTTTCAAAATCACTGTCATTTTTTTTTCAACACCAAACCCTATGGATTTCTTTTTTAAAGACAAAGGTGAATAGGATCTCTTGGTGACCTAGGCTAGAAATTCTCCAGAATCTATATATTGACTAATTTCAAAGGAAAGCAAACAACAAAATGTCCTTCCCTTATCTGAGTTCTAAGCAAAATCCAAAATGACTTTCATACATCATGGCTAGATTTTCATTTCAACATATTTGCTATACTAACTGCAAGTAAACAGGTGCAAGGAGGCTGATGAAAATACAGTGGAGTCCACTTGGAAAGAGCTCACATGAACCAGAATTCTGTGACTTTTGAGGCCTTATAAGACCTTTTAAACTGGTGCATTTTGCATCTATAGGCGGTTTTTATAAACGCCAATTTCGTTTTCGAAAATAAGTTACTTCTTTGTGGATTTTCATCAAACAAATTCCTTTTGAATGAATTTTATCTGTTCCAAACTACAAGATTTTAGTATAAATTTAGTGCGAGATATTTAGAAAAAAAGTTGTCGTTTTTTTTTATCACCATGTACAAACAATTTGGAATCTGACCACAAATATCGCATCTTTAAACCTACTGTGCTCTTTGCAAGTTCCGTAGCAGCAGCTGAAGCTCAATAATCTTTTAACACAAAATGTTACTACTTCTAAAGGCAAAGCACTAAGCTGAGAGCAAAAATATTCAAGGAAAGACAGGCAAAACACAGATCTCATTTAAATCCTGATCCCAAACTTGTGAGAGACAGTCAAATCTGTGGCCAACAGCCCCACAGTGGCAAGTTCTTAGCTCATTGAAGTCGGCTCCACTGTATACTAACTTGGGGGAAATAAAAATAAAATAAGACCTACTGGTCTGTTTTCAACACAGATTCATGGGTGGTGCTACTGTTCCTCCATCAGAGACATGCTTCTTAAAAATACAGCGGGGCAAGAGCAATAACACAACATAAATGTTAACATTATAGTGGAATGTTCGGAAAAGCTGCATAATTGACGTCACTGAACTTACGATAATTTATAAAGCATATCAGACGACATGTCTCATAGAAAAAAATACATTATTTAAGTAACGCTGAAAGAGGGGAAAGTGTGTCAAGACGTAAAAAACCTTAAACTTAAATGTAAAGTCTCTTGAGTGGGAGGGAAGGGCTGGCCTTAAAGAAAAGGATCGGGTGAGTGAGAGAGAGAGCCCAAAGAAAGAAAGAGGAGAAGAGAAAAGCAGATACATTTATGGAAAGGTGAGTTTCAGCACAGTGTACTCGTGTATTAGTGTATGCACCTTCAGATACACACAAACACAAAAACACTTTTGTGCTGTGTTGGATGAGCTCTATATATGCTACCAGCATCCTAACACACAACCTGATAGGAAAAAAGAAAGGATCATGTGACGCTGATCATAGCATCAAACGAATCTCAAAAGAGGACTTCAATATATTGTAACGGCAGAACAGTCACAGAAAGACACTTGCACTCAAAGGATTGGTAACAAAATTTTAAAAAGAAGCCAGCAAAATATCAACTAAGGCAAATTGCGCCCTTCATACTGCCTATATATAAAAAAGATAAAGAAAACTGAAATTAATGAACCATAAACTTCAATAAAAACACAAACATTTACACCAAGACTGGGAAAGCAAAATTATAATATCTAAAACCTGCTATGAAAATCATTCCAGCATTTAAGATTCAATTCTGTCCATTCCAGTTAAACCTTTTCCTAACCATTCTGATGCTCTTGCCTTTCCTAGAGGTAAAGTCCAACTGAACCCAAAACATTATTTTAAAGAAAACTTTATTATATTTTCGTCTTAACTTTTTTATCATTCATACATTACATTTTGAAAAAAGATTTGTGCAAGAAATCTTGGGGACACTTACGCCCACACTAATCGTACAACTCCACAAACCTATTATAAAAAAAAGTACTTCGCACATAACCACATTTTATTCCACATAACAAACTAAAAACTTGTGACCATTCAATCTCATGCCAGTCAAAACGCATAACAAAGAAATGATTCAAGAAACAAGAACAAATCAGAATATTATGGAAATGAAATCAATCTGCAACAAACAAAAAATGAGACAAATCAAAAGAAAAAAATCCTAAGAATTCGGAAATCAAACAATATGCAAAAACTGAAGAACGATAAAAAGGCGGTGAATTCTTGCTTTCTCTAAAAAATTAACAAATAATAAAAAAAGGATCACTGTCTCCACATCCAATTTCATAAATGGTGGTTACAAGTATACCACATAATTATTTTGTAAGGATATCTAAGATCTTCAGCAAAATAATGAGAAAGACAAAATACTACACAACAAAATAGGAAAACAAACAAAATTTAAAAACCAACTGAGGATAAATTGTAAAGGACAAACACAAACATGAGTACATTACAGAAACTACAACATTCATTAAGTATGTTGGGAACTTTAAGAAACCAATGTTACTGGAAACAACAGAAGTTATCCTATTTCAAGGTAGGAAAACATTCAAGACAATAGCTTCATAATGAAAAATTCTGAATTATAATTAAGTGGCCGTTCTGTTCCTTCATAAACAACTTTTTAACAAAGACGGGATGGGGAAGTAGTAAAAAAATTATATGTTTCTGAAAGACAAAAGAAAGGAGGGAGCACAATTTTTTTTATCAGTCCTTATCTTGGAAAGAACAGGCTTACTATTCAAACAAAAATACCTAACAATTCGTATTGAGATATTTATTCACGTTTTATTAAGTAAATTGTCATCTTTCATGAATTCAAGACTTTTTCAGCCATTTTTTGGATAAAACGTTGAAACTTTTATATGCAGTCCTTCAAGACTCGTACACACACACTGTGGAAGTTGACTCTTTTTCACTAAGCCTAACATCTGTACCTAATTTTACAAAATACAGACAATAAATATGTCCAGTTGCATCCCATTTAATACATATAGGGCCTCAAATGACGAATGTAGATGCACAGTATTAAGTTCAGATAAAATAAAGTTAGCATCGATTAAGAACTTGGAAAAAAACAAAGATAAGACAAAAGTTAAAGACAAAACGCAACAATGAATAAACAGGAGAGGTGATATCAAAAGATAAGACATATGTATACAGGGAAGGTGAAGAACCTTTATAGTATCTGAAACACAGAACAGACAAGAGTTAGACAACAGGCACGGAGCTGGTGAAAAAAAATAATTTTCTTTCGACTTAACCAGTACGACATACCGTGGTGACAGCATAAGTGGCTCCAAGTGGGGCTTCCCAGCAGCGATGTTAGTGGAAGGTGCTGACTGTTTACGCAGGTTGTTGGCTGAGCTAGCAGCTACCTCCTGTTGTTGCAATTTGCGCAGCCTCCGCTCCACCAGCAAGTAATATGTGGCAGCAATGTGGTCGTATGCATCACGTTCAAGAGATCTGCAAGCCACAGTTGTAAAAAGGTTTTTAACAAAGTTCCTTGAAAAACAAGGTTAGAAACTTTAACTTTGGGTTTTGTTAAAGACTGATACACATGACTTCATGAACTTTTAACATTTTTAAATGAGTACAAAGCAAATAGCATTACTGTTGCTTACATAAATTTTCATGAACCTGAATTTGATCCTGCTTTTTTTAACATAGGCCTTAAACCAAAACCTAATTGCCTGCAACACAATGTGGTCATACAATTCTTGTCTTATGTAATATAAAAAGAGAAGCAATTCATTAAACATTGTACTCACTGAAATATCTCGTCTCTGGAACAAATCTTTCCCTCAACCATCTTCTGTACTACATAGTTGTGATCCTCCTCAGACACATGCTCTCTTGAAAGCAGAGGCAAACTGATCCTGAGTCCACTGTCCGGACTGTCAACATCCCCGAGCCAGGGGTCTTGTTCAATGTCCTGAAGGTTAATCCGCTGAGACGGCTCCCTTACTAGCATTCTTGTGATCAAACTGTGAAAGAAACTCAAATATGTTTTTAACGTCTTCCCCACTGGAAGAAATATAAAATTACAAAGCTAACAGCCATCCAAAGGCGGGGTGACATAACTGCACATTTCATGATTTCAAGAAAAATGGAAAAAAACTTTGGACCCTAAACCTGTAACGGATTTTGCTTCTAAACATAGTTGAAACTATTAATTTGGATGTAGATACACCATCCCACCTTTTAAACAAAAAGGAAATGGGCAAAATTTGGGTAACAAAATAAAACAAAAAAAACTTGAGTTTGTGTAAGATACATCGCTCCCTCTGCATTGGGACAGCAGGAAAGTGAAGAGGCATCTACATCTCAAAAAAAATCTGTACACATGTGTCACAACAGGCGCGCGTCAATTTTTGGACATGTGGAGTTATTGGTATCGTCTGAAAGCTTATTCATTTGCTTTGCTTTCTATGAAAAAAATACCCATCTATATTGAATAGAAGTGGGGGTATTTGTGATTGAAGGAGGTGGGGGTGGCCTGGTTTCAGAGATAAAATTGGTGTGAAAATGGCTGTCAAAGTTTGGTTACTTCTATAGCTTGAGACTTGAGAGTCCTTGAAAACTGAAAATTTACAGATTTTGTGCCATTAATCAACGTTTTTCCATAGAATTCACACAAAAATGTGTTTTACGACATACAATGAGATGAATCAAAATACAAAAATTCAATAAAAATTGCCAAACTGGAGGAAAAAGGTCAGTTTCTTCGATTTCATTATTTCAACGAGTGCCTGATTTCACCACAATGCCTCACATATGGAATTATCCAATACTAAATGCCCCATAGCTGTAACTTAAGACTACAATCTTCTCTGTTCATCTCAGGGTTTATAGTATAGTTTACTTATAAATCATAAATATATTTGTTTCATATTCAGGCATGGAACTGTCTAAGAAAAAACAGCAGTTCCCTGTTGCAGTGCAGGCACAGATATGAGCATGACATTGATGAAGAACATACTAATGTTCCCCCTTTGGAATGGCCTAAAGACACTTCAGTCACTAGCACCGCCTTGGGAATGGGTGGGGGGGGACATAGAGAATTCATGGAATTCAATAGGCCTAGTTCTAGGCACTGTGATACTAATGCTAGAAACTCTCCAACAAATAATTATCTGTGCTACAAAGACTAAAAATCGACCATTCTCTGGTGATTAATTATATCATCATAATGCTGAAAAAAAAAATGTTAATTCAATACAATTTGTTGAACAGCGGCCAATAACCCACCATGTGTTACAGATGGCTATGTGAATCATCAGTGAGAAACTTATAACCACATATGCTTTTAAATTATAAGGATTATGATGTTTAAATAATACTAACTGCAAAAATAAAGAAAAATTGTAAATTATTATTTTATCAAAACTTACTACTCTTCTGTGAGCTTGGCTTTAAATATTTAATTAACTTACATAGACATAAATAATACCCCTAACCAAAACACAAAAGCCACAACTCCCCCCACCCCCCACCCCAACCTTGTGAAGAGAAAAGGAATAAAAAAAGAACTTAACTTACAACTTTCTGCTGTTTACAGAATTGACCACCCAGATCTCTTTTTATGGATTAAAATAACAATCTTTCTAAATAATGCTACATTATAATATAAACTGCATAAAACTCTTTAGCCCTTTAAAAATGAAGTGTAAAGTCATCAAAGTAAAACACATACCTGCGACATTGAGCCGATACTTGCGGAGGTATCTGATATTTACAGTCCATAATCATGGTCAACGTTTCACTATCATTAGCTTCCTGGAAAGGAGCACGACCAGCAACCAACATAAAGAGGATAACACCCAGGCTCCACACATCTGAAAGAAAGCAAGGTGAACCATAAAAAACAACGGTTTACAATCATTGAAACCTAAGCATATGTGGATCTGAAAATTCCCTATCGTTTGAGTTTGAACATGTAAAACAGGTCTTAGACTTCATGTCCAAATCATGATATCAATTCATAAGTAATTTACAATTCACAAGTAACAGATTTGTACCAAAATATTTCTTCAAATTACAAATATCTTACCTGACACACCTTAATTTATTATATTCTCCAACCTGACACGCCTTAATTTATCATATTCTCAAATGAATATCAGATTCAATGTCAAAACTAAAACATTCAATCAAAAAACGTTTAAATTACCACCTTCATAATAAACAGTGATAAAATGCCATCAACCCTGCAGAGCGCATTCCCCCATCGACAGTGTAGAGCAGCGCAGAGCGCATTCCCAGAATCAAAGGAGAGAATTTTTACACTTGCCAAATACAGCATTGAGTATCAGTCCCTTTTTTCTGTAAATCCAACATGTGTCCAACTCTCTTCAGAGATAACGTTTGCCATTTATTACCACTTGAAATTGACAAAAGTAAAAGAATGAATCTGAACCTGGCCAAATAGCGAGTCCCCTTCTCTGTTAATCTACAACACAATTAATTAATCAAAAAGTACAGTCAAACCTGCCATTATAATGGAAACTTCTCCAAGAGGGAAAGCTGTCACGACAGTTCATCTCCCCACTCCCCCTTTGATAAATTATTATATTATCATATGATCTATACTTTAGGACAACAAAACCCAAAAATGGACACAGAGAATTCCTTCCCTTAGGACTAAGGAAGGTTTTGACTTATTGAATATGGGAAAAGAATGCTTTGCCCGTTCAACCCTGATTTGAAATAAAACGTCCCAACTTCCATTCCACCGGCTCCCATTCCCAGTTCTATGTAAAACCAAGCCACCAGGCGATTGGGGGGTGGGGGGGGGGGGAGTTGCAGTTTGGGGGGTAGCTATAAACTGTTATTCCAACCATGTGAGCCCTGAGAGGGCAAATGGTCAGGATAGTACAGCTGTGATCACAAGGCTGTTTACGTTCAAATTTATAAATTAGTTCACTGGCATGAGAAATATGAAATTTCACCACTGCTTGCTGCCTTGATCATACAGCCAGCCAAGAAAAAAGCTGCCCAAATCATTTTTCAAAGGCAGGGGAGGGGTGGCATTAGTTGATTGTATTGCACTGACGAGTACAGCTAAGGGTGGAAACAAAGTTGTTTGACAATCGTGTCTGCTTGTAACTAGTCAAACAATGGTTTAAAATGAGACGTAAGAACCGGGGGCTGTGGATTAGTAAGATTGATAGACATGCCATTATCACTATCAGAGCCCCCCCCTGCCCCCTGACCCTCTGGACCCCCCTGCCTATAAATTCCCTTGTCCAAGACAGTGAATGCATGTCTATGACGAAGTATTTTTTTACGGCTTCCTTGACATTCCGTCTTGCATAGGTTTCACTGTACTGATATGGTAATGGTATCGGGACATATTTTTACTTTTACACTAAACTACATATACATACAACTTTAAAAAATCATAATTATACAATACAGTACACAGGCCTAGGCCTACTTTCTTCCAAACTGAAGCATTATTTTTAACTCCCCCCCCCCCCCTTTTACTTTTATTAAAAACCGCTCTTTGGATGCATACACAGGATCACTAAATTAAAAATAACTTACAGTACAGTAATCTTGCCACCAACCAAATTGCTCATTTTGAGCTGTGACACACCCTGCCCCCACATTTCAGTGTACTTGCTATATATACTAGAATTCATCCCACAGCAGTCTAGATGTCTCCACATGAGTCCCAAAAACTACTCATTCCTGTCTCTTGAATCGTGTTTCTTAGGCGATCATTTAGCTGTGGTGTTGAGGAAAATTTGTGACATATATATGTACATACTCCGAGAAATGAGCGAGTTAATTGTCTCAAAACTCATTAAAGAACGTCCCACATTTTGGGGGGTTTTATATAAAAGTGTACCAAAAATTATTTGATTAAAAAATGTGTAACTTTTTTGTTTATTGATGGATTTCAAAAATTCAAAAAGTCCCATGCTCTGTGAGGATACAACAACAAAATGCACCTATTTGCAAACACTTTCTTTGACAAAAAAAGATTTTTTGTGGTCATTGCTACCATACATGTCTCATTCAAAACAGGCCAAGTTGGTAGCTCTAGATGTTCATTCAATGAAATTATAGAGCAAATTGACCCCCTTAGACATGAGGAGATCGAAAGGATAGTCAGGAAACAAGACTTCCATTTTTCTTATACAAAATCTTTAAAATGAGCTTGATTTTATATGAAATGATACTACCTGATAAAAAATAAGCTTTTATTTGATAATTTTTAATACCATTGTGCAGGCACAAAGAACAATTTGAGGGCAAAACATTCGGAAATTGACCTATATTATCCTCTTTGGAACCAGGTCATTCATAAACAACAAGAGCGTCTAGAAAGGTTATTATTCGAATGGGTGTAACTACTCGTAACGTCTTATCAGATTATGTGCTTGTAACACTTTATAGAAAGCTAAGAAAGATAGAGCATTATTTTTCGTCGATTAACACACTTCCACGGTATTCACTGCAAAAACATGTTTCCCGACGCCCGCACTGTACACCAACAGTACACACTGAGTGACCCCGGCGGCCTGCCCGGAACGTCCAACGTAATCGGTTGCTGATAAGATTCGCATCTCAGCACAGACGCAGGACAAGAGTTAAAAGCTATCAAGACAAGCTCAAAAAGAAAAGGCAGCTGCAGCAGAGGAAGGATTTTTGTAACAGGCGACCACCCCAACAAACACAATTTATAAAGAAGAGACCTAACCCTAACCCAACCCCTACCCTAATCTACTGTGTTTCATAGAGGTTGCTTGTTACAGAATTCCTCACGTAGCAGAAATGAAGTCATAATGGTGATGTTATCATTAGACTTCAGGGCCATAGAAACTCGCGAATCATGTCTCATGCTCCACGTCTAAACGAATGAGTGGAAAAATGAACTCAAGTAATCTTACTAAACTTACTTGCGATGGGCCACAGACCTCCACTCACCCTTCACACTTCACAGATCAAGGCGTGAGCCTGGAAGTGAACATGTTCACTTTTCTGGAGTCGTGGGCAAACTATTTTATCAGTAGAGCTAGACGTGGGCCAGATGCCGTTGCCAACAATGTGCAATTTTAATTTTCTCGTCAGGATGGACAATAACAAAGAAATCAAGTTAGTCCAAGCAAGGCCTCTACTCTGAGACCCACATGATCCTGACTACAAAGACAAAGATCAAAGGGCACAAGTTTGGGAAAACCTTTCCAAGATGCTGACTACTGTAAAAGAGCTCTTCATCAGGATTGTCCACGATATGCTGGAATGTCTATGCTGGAATGTCCAGTGAAGTTATCCTCTGGATTCTCTGAGCAAAAAATGCTTGAGGCACCATATTGCTCCGTCTCTTTCGCTTCCTTCTTCTGAGCAACAACAAAATCAGCAAATCTTCTTGGTCAAGTGATTCCATCTTGAATGCATCACACCACACAGACTGGGGTAAATTTTTACTTTCACTTCCGCACACAGATGCATTGTTCCAAGGGTAAAACTGCAGTATGGTTTGCTGCAGATCACAATAAATTGCCACTAAAACTTTCTCAAATCAATTTTTTTTAAATTTAAAAAAATCTAACTAAAATATCAAATTATGGGTTAAAACAAGGGGGTGTGCGCCCTTGTGACCCCCCAAATTTTCTTTCACCCCAGTGGGGCAGGCCCACCTGGACCCCCCCCCCCCTCCCCTCTCCATTGGTCCAAAGCACGTCTATCTCGATTAAGAACAATCAAATATAAAACTATTAATTTGCGACGGAAATGAAGTTGATATTCTCGTGTTCAGCACACCAGTATTTAGTCTAGTAGAATATGGACAACTGGTAGCTAAGTGTGAGACGGGAGGGAAAGTAAAAAAATACCCAGACTGGTGTGTGAGGCGTAAAGCATGAGCCCCTAGGGTCCAGTGGGCCGTGAGGCATCATCATCAGGCATGAGACGTTAGTGTCTATGGCCCGGAAGGAAGTGTTCCAGCTCAGCAAAATAAAACCAAACTAACCAGAATAGCGGCTTACCAGAATAGCTTTACCAGTACACAAAACGTAGATTCTATTTGTTGAGACGGGTCCATTAGTAGTAAAATAACACAACTATGATCTAGATTCTAGATGCATCGGAAGGACTTCTGTAATGAGCAGCCACCCCAAAAAACACAATAAAGCTTAAATGTGTCCCTGCCGGTCAGTATCAGTATGAAGGAAATTTCAACTGAGTAAACATTATTTTCAAATATCACCTTTTCCTTTGGCGTACAATTTAAAACAAGAATGAAGTATATGACCATATTTGACAAAAATACAGAACTTTTAATTGAGCAAGGTGAGGAATCACGAAAAGGAGAAAATGGCCTCCGAAGTTGAGCAACATGGTTCCATAGTAATGGGGCTAATGGGTGTCTTCTTAGAATTGATCTAGATCTATAGAGGCTTGACATAGTTGATTGGCAGGCGATTACAGTCGTTTCGTTTATTTTGATTTTAAATGAAGCAGAAGAAACTTTCAATTGATCAACAACAACAAATTTCATGGAAAGTTAACTTTTTGGTGCTTTTTCGGTAGTTCCCACCCTCCTTATTTGAGCCTGACCTACATCTAGAATCTAGATCTAGATCTATACGTTTGATTCGTGGCGAGCTAAGATATCAAACCTAACAACTGCAAAACATTAAATTGTGGTAAAATTCAGGGGGGCATGCCCCCCTGAAACCACCCTACTCTTGGGGCCTAAACCCGCGAATATAACAATTGCGGGGTGGGAACTACAGAAAAAGCGCCAACTTTTTGGCCTTTCGAGCCTCGTAGCTGATAGATCTAGGTATCTAGATCTAGATCTTATAGCACACTGCGTCTCATGCGTCTCATGACAGATATTGTGACCGGTGGAGACAGATTAGTATAGGCCACCTCTATTCTCACCCCTGGTGAGAATAGTGCAGGCGAGCCTTTTGGCTATTTTCACCGCGTTCACCGTTATAGCCTAGATCTAGGCCAACCAATTTTGCGTTCACCCTAAACCACAGAATTCTACTTCTACACTGTGATAACAGAAAAATTGTAGAATTCTGTGCCGTGAACAAACGTTCCATTACTACTGTTAGCCTACTAGAAGCGTACAATTTTGTCTGTGGGCAGTGGAGAGAGGGGGAGAGGGAGAGAGAGAGAGAGAGAGAGAGAGAGAGAGAGAGAGAGAGAGAGAGAGAGAGAGAGAGAGAGAGAGAGAGAGAGAGAAAGGAGTAGCGCGAGAACTTCCGGGCAAAACAAAATGGCGACCCGCGTAGTTCTGCTCGTTTCGAAAAGTTAACTGATTCCGTCCATTCGGCTGCTGACAGCGGCTCTGAGTTTTTCCGCTGCCTCCATTCGGCCGCTGTGAGCGGCTCAACGAAATCCGAAACAAAGGTGCACTTTTTAACATAGTTCCTACTTTTTAAGTTGTCGAAAGGAAGTAGAACTTGTAAACAAACCTGACCTCAATCTCTGAGCGCCAATATCGATCGAAACTCCGCGAAATTCTTGCAAAAATCGTTGTTTTGTTGTTGCGATGTAGGCTAGATCTAAGGCCTAAGGGTAAACAACACGGAGCCTGGTATAATAAAAAGGCTCTTCAAAGAAAGATATTCAACTAAATTTGTGAAATTCTTGCATAAATGTGTGCTAGGGTGATATCGCTACAATGTTGTGTTGATTCCTATGGATTATAAGGACTTGTAGAGCTGAGAAAATGCGGTAAGTCAATTTTTTTTTCTCATTCGTTTTTGTCAGAAGGAAATTGTAATACAAACAGATTATAGGTCATTGTTATTGATATAAACAGATTTTTCTACTTATTCCCATCAGTTTGGTATGACAATACACATTATTAGAGTGACTTAGAGACTTCACAGTAATGCGTTAAATAGATGCACCCCAGGTCTAAAACTGAGCAGGGAAAAATAACTCTGTCCAGAGCCTGAAAAAATCATGGACGGAATCAGTTAAATAGCCGTAGCATCTTTGTAGACGACCAAATTAATTTACTTTTGTGTTTTAACATCATTTTTTAACTTTGTTTTGGTCAATTTGATCGTCCACACCGATAGATAGTATTCAGAAAGAGAGAGAGAGAAGAGGGGAGGAGTAGATTCTAGATCTTGCGAGAACTTTCGGGCAAAACAAAATGGCGACCCCCGTAGTTCGGCTCGATACGAAAAGTGAAATAGCCATAGCATCTTTGTAGTCGATAAAATTAGCTTACTTTCGTGCTATAACGTTAATCTTTTCTTTGCCTTTATCATCCATTTGATCATCCACATAGATAGAAAGTATTCCGAAATTAGGAAAAGCAGGTCTTGTTTGACACCGGGTGAGAATAGCCTATGTGGCAAGTCTCACCCGGGGTGAGAGGTCGATCGTATTTCTATTCTCACCGCCACTTCCTTAGTCTTAGTTTATTAGACTAGAAGAGACCAAACGGTACTAACCCTCACCCAAACCCAAACCCTTAGATCTAGTGGTCGCTCGTTACGAAAGTCCTCCCTATGCATCAATCAGAAAAAACTTACCAACTGCCGGTGGGTCATAAGAATCACCAAGGAGAATTTCTGGAGCTGAGTATGCAAGGGATCCACAAGATGTCTCCAGTTTTTTCCCAGGTGCAAAAACATTGCTAAATCCAAAATCTGTCAACTTGACAATGCCAAGCTTATTGAAAAACACAACGTTTTCTGGTTTAAGGTCTCTGTGAACAACATGAAGTCTGTGACAATAAGTTATTGCCTCGACAATCTGTTGAAAATACTTCTTAGCAACAGCCTCATCCAGACCATCGTCGTGTTTCATGATGTAGTCATACATATCACCGTCACCAAGCTCCAAGATGAGGTACAATTTGGTCTGTGTGTCAATGACCTCATACAGACGTACTACATTTGGATGCTGAACTAGTTTCATGCATCTCACTTCTTGAAACAAGTGGGATCTAGAGATATCATCTAGTTTTTGCTTATCTATAACTTTCACAGCTACTTTCTCTCCGGTGAAGACATGTCTTGCCAATTTCACCACTGCAAAATGACCCTGTCCTATCGTCTCCTCCAAATCGTATAATCCTGCTATTTTACCATCATAGCCACCTTTAGATCTTTTCCCCGCCATTTGTCACTGACAAGAGAAGACTTCAAAAAGTCTTACCGTTCACAATATCATGTTCAAAGGGATGCAATGAAATTTGCAACACTAGCAATATAAAAAATTCGTATCCATCGTAATGAGATAATGCTGGCTGCCATTACAAACAAAACGCGCACCTTCATTGCGCATGACGCTTGGTCACATGACACATTTCCTGATAATTTTTCTCTTCTTTCATTTTCATCCATGATTGCTTTCATTTCATCTTTTACGAGGCCTTTATATTATTCGTGTTGATTGGGAAAGCGCTAAAGTTAAGAGATACCTTGAAATGGTAAATAGGCCTAATATGATTTGCATCCAATGATCTGAATCACCTCTACATGTGTGCCCTGAAAGCTTTCAGAATGCTGGGCTAATTCAACTCCACGTGAAAGTGATTTGAGTGATTTCAACGAAATGGGAATAGAGGGAAAGCATGCAGGCTTAGGCCTAGGCTATTAGCCTAGAAAAATCTACAAGATAAAATCACTTAGGAGTAGCCAATTGGCCCTAGGGCTAGGCCAGGCTTTCTCAGAAGGCCTTGACCAGTGAACATATGAGAAATACCGCATCAGCTTAGGCCCGAACCGCAGAACAATTATAATAATATATTGTATTTTGCATAGAAGTCTTAGGCCTACCTTTACCGTAGCTTCCAGCTAAATGTTAGCTGGTCTCCAAAACAATTGCTTGCTCCCACCAGGACGACGTACTGACTCTCAAACGAAGTTGTATAGAGAGAAATTTACCTGAGAAGTAAGGAAAATCAGTTAAAGAACCGATCTGAAAATGTCCTTTGATCTGTAGCTCCCTTTATATCTACTCTACTATCTACAACCATATATTTACGCCCCACCTAGTCTCATGTTTGTTTCAACATTTTGCTTTACATCTTCCAAGTTTGATACCTCTCATCAGCTTTTATTTGGGGG